ACTACTATATATATATATATATATATATATATATATATAAAATAGGTGATAAGATGAGGGAAAGTACACTTAAGTGGGCTAACCATGTGCAGCATCGACCAAGAAGAGCATCGATTAGGAGGAGGGGGGATTTGGTTCAAGTGGAAGCCTCTAGAAGGGCAAGGGGAAGGCCCAAAGGACATAGGTGGAAGTACTGAGAAAAGACATGATAATTTATGGTTTGACTAAGGATATGGACCTTGATGGACCTTGGGATAACTCGGATAATGATGATGATATATATAATGTGTAAATATAAATATAACTATAAATATATTATATTATTATATTATGGGAAAAGTTTATATAGAGCTGAGGCTCTAAACAATCAAATTTGAGCCTACCTCAAAAAATAAACGAGGTTGTTTGGATGCCCAAATATCTTCAAATTTATCATCAAGATGCATGGACATGAGAAAAAAATGAATTTCAAGTTTTGGAAATAGTGTATTTTGTAAGGTATATTTAGACCGTCAATTTTCAAGATTTTCAATTTTTCATAGATAGGTCAATCAACACTATTTTTGAAGTTTTGAACTTTATAAATAAATATAAAAATATATTTTAAGGCTATCACAAATATTTCTAGTAGTAAAACCACATTTCTCGATACTATTTGAAGGTAGGCTCTAATTTGATTGTTTAGAGCCTAGGCTCTATACAAACAGCACCCTTATATTATATATGTGTATATATATATGTATTTGTATGTATGTATGTATGTATTTATGTTTGTGTGTGTCTGTGCATGGAGGCACAAATGCATGCTTCATGCATATGTACAGATGTGTATGTATCTTTTATTCAACTATGTACTGTACATACATTTTCACATTTTCTCTATTTTTATAGCTATATATCTACATATGTGTAGATAAATTTGTCTGTGTATGTATTTGTGTAGAGGTATATAACTATGAAATGCATGAATGCATAGGTATTTCTGAATGTAAATACCTGTATATACCTTCTCAACCCTTTCACATAAATGTTCTGCATTATGAAAAATTTGTAGCACATTACAAATGCTTTTAGCACGTAAGTATTCAAAGGAACACTGAGCAACTCACATCATAAAGCTTCTTATAGTCTACATCCCTTCTGTGTCTCCTTTGAGAAAGTGTGAAATCTCGACCATCACCATCCTCAGAATCTAGTGTTATAGGACAATCACTTGTTCCGAGGTTAGTGGTTCCCACTCTTTTATGGGACTCGGCCATGAAACCATCTTCATGAGATCTGCTACTATGGGAACAAGCATCATCAGATGACCAAAACATGCCATTAGAACTACTAGAATCATCAGAGACATTGGCATCAATGCTTCTTCCCCCACTGCTTTCTCCATTTTGATCAGGATCATAATCATCATCTTCCGAATCATCGGAGGGCCACTCTTCTTCAGGATCAAGCACAGATTTATTCTCATCATCAGGTGATGTAGCTGCTTCCTTAAAAATGTCCTATTACAGTTTTGGAAAACAAATTGAAATGTCAGATTCTTGATGAATGGAGAACTTATAAAAGAAAAATTGTGAAAGGGCTAAAGTATATTACAGAGAAACTATAGTCTACTCAGGTCGTAACAGAAGTGATGGATGATGATGGACAGAAAGTGGGTCCCATCATTGACATCATGGCCTGTTCTGATAGGATCCCACACTCTCACTACCTCATTTGATCTTTATGACCCCAGTTGACAATGAGCATGTGGTATGCTCTCCCTGAATATACTACTAGCTGCTAAGAACTTAAATGCCATATCACTATATAAAAAACACAGTTACGAACCTCCCAACTGTTCTCAATAGAGAACCTGGCACCTAGATGTGCATTTATAGCTCCTAAAATTTCTGTCTTACATTCACAAATTTTGCAAAGCCATCCTTGGTCTCCAGGAGGAACTGAAATAACAGAGAGAGAGCAGATTTGTCAAGCCAGGTATCTTGTCAGGGAAGCATTTAAAAAATATATATATGCGATTTGTGGAGCATCGAAGTACTCCCGGTGTGTGTGTGTGTGTGTGTGTGAAGACTTAAAAAAGGTCTATGATCGAATTTCTACAATGTTCACTCAGGTTAATAACCATCCAAATTCTGTTAGACAGAAATGGTCTTCCAAAAGTGTTTGAATTTTAAATTTTTTTTTCTTTTACGAATCAATTGACTTGAAAGCAAGTGTGCATCTCACATGGGCACAACAACATAAAATATTAAAAAAATAATTCTCAGAAAATATTTTGACCAAAATAACTCTACAACAATCATGGGGGTATTTTGGTCATATTCATTGTTTGTTCATTTTTGAACTTTTTTACGGTGTGCCTCACAAAGGCCATACACCTCCGAATTTCAGGAGAATCCCATTTGTAAAAGTATAAAAATCTATCTTTGGATGGAGATGAGCCTATGAGTGAACATTACAGAAATTTGCTTATAGGTGCTCTTAAGTCTTTCATGTATGTATGTACATAATACATTATATATATATATATATATATATATATATATATATATATATA